TCAATGATCCTCTCTGTGTTTTCTGTTTTCTCCCCCTGTTCTGGAACTCCGATCACGTGAAGATTTTTGCTTTTGATTGTATCCCACATAATTCTCAGGGTTTCTTCATTTTTCTTTGTTCTTTTTTCTGATTTTTCCTCAAACAGAGTTGTATCCAAGTGTATGTCTTCAATTTTGCTGATCTTTCTTCCATAGTTTCAAACCTGCTCTCAGCCCTTCCATGACACTGCCCATTTCTGAAATCTTCTTGTTTATCTTTTGGATTTCTAATTGTTGTTTTTGTATGATTTCTAGTTGTTAATTTATTTCAGCATTTTGTTCCTGTATATTATTTTCTTGAATTCTTCCATTTTTTGTCTGTATTTTCTATGAATTTGTCTGCCTTTTCCATGAATTTGTCTATTTTTTCCTCATTTTTGTCTCCTTCTTGCTTAAACTTTTGGATAATTCTGAATATTAGAGATTTGAATTCCCTATCAGTTAGGGGTACTGCCTTTTCTTCTACTGGAAGGTCATCTGGTGTTTTATTTTGGACACCTACTGCAACCATCCTGTCCTGTTTTTGTAAATGTTTTGATATTGTCTGTTGTTTTCAGGGCATTCAGTGGTTATTTTCCTCATTTATTGATTGTAGATTTGTTTTGTCCTGCTTTTTTGTTTTATTTGGTTATGTCTGAGCAGGCGAGCTGTGTGTTCTTTGTTGTTTGCTTGTCTGTGGGCACGATACTTTTCAACTCCTTCTCCAATGGGAAGGGTCAGTCACCCAGGTATCGTATAGCAGGGCAGGGCCAACTAAAGGGGAGTTGCTGGAATGGGTTGTTTGTGGCATGTACCAGGGCTGACAGTGCGGACCAGGAATCAGCACAGGGCAGGTTCCAGTAGGCTGTGTCTGTGCTGCTTGGGAGTGTGATGTTCAGTGCATGGTGCAGGTAGGCAGGAAGGAGGGGGTAGATTGCAATGTGTGGAACTATGATGTATACGGGAAAGACTGAGAGAGAGGAGAGAGAAACAGGAGCCAAAAACATACACACACACAAAAAAGAGTGCTAAGGGAGCTTGCTATTGGAGTGGAAAGATGAGAGACTGAGAAATGGGGAAAAACAAAAATAGAAAAAAAGGGTAAAAGAAAAAAATGAATAAATTGAGAAACTGGTAATGAAGAAAGACAAAAAGGGAATAAGAGAGAGAAGAAAACAAAACAAAGAAACAAACAAACAAAAAAAACCCGAAAAACAAGAAAAAAGAAATGCCCCCAGGGATGCCCTGAGCATCTCACAGAGTAAGGGAGTAGCTTTCAAGCCGTGCTGTACTGCCTGGCTAGAAGAGGCTCCCAAGCTGAGAAAAGAAAAAGAAAACAAACAAATCAAAACAGAACAAATCTGAGCAAACAAACAAAAAAGCTCCGGGGGTTCCACCAGCGTGGCAGCATGGGCAGGGAAGCGGTTCACAGTCAAGCGGTGTTTCGCAGCCTTTCAGGAAGAAGAAAAGATGGCGCTTGGAGCCAGGTATTTGAGAGAAAGGAGGGGGAGGTGGTGAGAGGTAAGGAAGAAATCTAAAGAAGCGGAAAAAAGCAACACCAACAGCCAACAAAAGGCACTCAGGGAGCCAGCCAGTGTGGGCGGGTGGAATCCAAACAATAGTGGGGTGAAGCTGCTGCTTCCCGGCCAAGAGTCTGTGGCTGCAGGAAGCAGAGGAGGCTAAGTGGGGGTGAAGAAGGGTGCGGGGTGGGAAAGCCTGTATCACTGGTTATTAGTTATTCTGTCTCCTGCTGGAAGCTCCAAGAAGCTGCCTTCTCGTAACCCCTGTTTGCTGATCTCTGATAGGAGCCCAAGATGGTGGATCTGTTCTGTGGTAGCGATAGGGGACCTCTGCATGTCTCCTCACTCTCTGTTCTCAGTCAGTTTCTTATTCCATTCGGTGCTTGGCTGAGTTCTTTATCTCTTCATTTGATGCTTAGGGTTTCAGGATTGACGCGTGACTCTGTTTAACTTAGTTTTTCTGATCTTTGCTGCAGAGGGATGGCGTGGTGCTTCTGACTATAGCACCATGTTGCCCAGAAGTCTCTCTTTCCTGTCTTTTTAATGACCTCTTGCTTTCTTCATGTATGATGTCTTCAATGTCCTCCTACAACTTGTCTGGTCTTCAGTCATTACTGTTCAGTACATCACATCTATTCTTGAGACAGTCTCTAAATTCAGGTGGGATACACTCAAGATCATACTTCGGCTCCCGTGGATTTGTTTTAATTTTCTTCATGTTCAACTTGAACTTTCACATGAAAAATTGATGGTCCGTTCTGTAGTTGGCCCCTTGCCTTGTTCTGACTGATGATATTGAGCTTCTACATTGTCTCCTTCCACAGATGTAACTGATTTGATTCCTGTGTATTCCATCCAGCAAGGTCCATGTGTAGAGCCATCATTCATGTTGTTTAAAAAGGGTATTTGCAATGAATAAGTCGTTGGTTTGGCAAAATTCTACCATGCGATCTCCAGCCTCATTTCTAGCAACAAGGCCATAATTCCAACTACTGATCCTTCTTCATTTCCAACTTTTGCGTTCCAATATTCAGTAATTATCAATGCATACTGATTGCATTCAACCCTAGTGTTAAATTAAAAGTACTATGTTTTTAAAACATTATAATTGTACTTTATACTAATACTTTCAAAACAGATTAATATAATTTTTAAAAATAACAACTAAAAAGTAGAATTTCTCAGGCAACATTTAAGGAAATAAAGTGCATGTGCATGTGATAGCAGTGATTGAAGTGATCAATATTTCCATAGCATAGATGTTAAGAACGTGCACTCTGTAATTAGACTCTAGGGTTAGAGTTCTCACTCTGACACTTAATGGCTAATATCTCTGCAACCACAGGGAAGGTTCTTCATTTCTCTGTGCCTCAACATCTTTATCTGTGAAACTGGGATGATAATATCCTTACAGTAAAGATCAGAGACTACTTGTTCACTACTGTGTCCTTAGCACCTAGAACAGTGCCTGACATGTAATAAGAGCTCAACAAATTCTTGCTGCTTGAATGAAATGTGTACAATGACCATGCCCCTGATACAGATGCGAACACAGAGTCACAAGGAGGTTAAATGCTCACTCTAAGGTTAAACAGCTTCTAAGTAGCAATCCCAGGATTTGAGCCTCAGCAGCCTAGATCTAGAGGCCAAGCTCTAAACCTTTACATCATATCTTGGGGTGGAGTGGGAATCTCTGATGATTTAACTGCTCTATGCATAGATTACTGGGAGCCCTTGTGATGCAATGGTTAAGCACTTGGCTGCTACCCAAAAGGTTGATGGTTTGAAGCCACCCAGTGGCTCCAGGGGAAAAAGACCTGGCGATCTGCTCCCATAAACATCACAGCCTAGAAAAACCCTATGGGGCAGCTGTACTCTGTCACATGGGTTTGCTATGAGTTGAAATTGACTCAACGGCACCTAAAAACCACATGCACAGATTACACTGGCTGGTTAGAACAGTCACAGAACCATTTGATAAGAATATTCCTAGATGAGGGCCCAGAGATTTAGGTCAACTTTCTCTGTCTCAATTGTCCTTTTTTTAGGATGGTACTAAATTCATGAATTTCTTTTAAAAACATTTTATAAAGATAAGTACTATGGAATTGGGTGACATAATAGACACAAGGAAGAGATAAAATACAATCCTCAAGACATAAAAGTAAACCCAGGTTAAACTCCACAATAATTTTAGAATTAAAAAATCAAGCCGTATAATTAAGAAAAATACTAGAATAATTTTAGTCTTGCCAGCGATATGATGTTTTACATTAATAAAAGTACAAATTAGTTCCCAAGACATTTCAGTCAGTTTGAATTAAAAGAATAACTTAAATCTATTTCCAGACTTTAAATTTTATAAATAACAGGCAGATAGAGTTCTTTTATTTACTGAATGAATCATGGATAAGCAAATTATGTGAAATTGGCTAGGAGTCATAGTGGTTTAAACTAGCATATTTAATTTAAGGATCACACTGCATTTTCAAACAACCATGAAAGAGAAGAACAATATAGAATTCACCTCACTTATAGGCAGCAATTTATACTGAAGAAAATACAGCAAGTTACTAAAGGCATCAAGATACAGTTCACTCTCTGATGAAGAATTTACATGGTTTGTACTATTTATCATATGAAATATAATTTAGTATCTAGAATACATCAAACTCTAGTCTGCCACCTTTTATTAATAACACTTGTAAGAGAGGAGGGAGGGAGGAAGAGTCTCATAAATAGAAAATGAAAGTGTTCTCGCAATCATTAGCAGGTTCTCCTTTTTTTTAAAGTCTTCACTCTGATCTTAATCTTTCAAGCTATACACATACCTGCTACTGAAAAGCCACCTTGATTCTGCTGACAAGAAAAATGTTGCTGTCAAATGGCAGGCAAGATTAAACACACCTTTGCAATAGCACATTAAATATGTAATTATTTTTCAAATCAACAAAGATTTATTAAATTTCATGAAATGATTGATTACTGAATTTTGCAGCTGTCTATCCTTGTAAGAAAAATTTGTGCTTTAGGCCAAGTTAACTTAGGATGGTCATACTTTCTTCATCTCTACATCATTATTATCACCTTGATTTTTGTATAATTTTTTTGTAATGTTTACTACGAACGTCTATGAAATGCTGTTTTAGATTCATGTGTTCCTACTGAGTGAGGAAGGCGAGTTTAGCCTTACATTTTCCTGTATAAGAAAAATACCCAATATATCTGGCACATTCTTAAATTTTGATGATGTATAATATTCATAACTCATAATAATTGTTAATTACTATCTGCTACATATGACTTCATTTGCCATGAAAAGAAAAGTTCTTAGCTATTGGCAAATACTTGGGCTGACCTAGGCAAAATTTTAAAGCATGTAAATTGTCTCTCCTACTTCCTGAACCTTGTCTTCTTGCCACGGTGCCAATGCAAACCTCTGTGGCCAGAGCCCTCACACTCTTTACCCATCTTCCTGCGTTCAAAATGTGCTTCCAGGAAGGGAAATGGTGTTGGTTCTTTAAACCTGAATATGAATGTAAGTCACAGTGTCACCTCCTCTAATGGTAATTTAACTTTAAACCTTAACTTTGAGTTTTCCTACCCTCCTCTTTCCCTCCTCTCTTTAAAGTGATTTCAGTGAGCAGGAGTGGAGAAGATCTTTCAGACACTTCTGAAATTATACCACTAATTGCAGTTTCTACTCTGCTGACACTGAAGAATGGCCCTGCTGCAAGTAAAATTTAAATCTCACAACTGGGACTATAGGTTATGAAATGTATTAGCTGAAGAAAAAATAGAAGTGGCTTGAAGAAAGGGTTTTAAATATTTCTCACGCTCCATTTTGCCATAGATGGCTATAAACGCTAGAAAATTTTCTGTGTACTCATAACCTAATTATGTTAAAAACAAATTTTAAAAACAGGTATTGGTTATCAGATTTTAAGAAATAATGCCTCATTCATGTATTTAATTATAATGTACTATAATTTTGCTTACAAATATTTATAACAGCATGCATAATTTAGTCCCATATTAAAAAAAATTTAATAGCTTACATTATAGTTGAATAAGGAAAATACAGCATTAACTATTTTTCTCTTACCTCATCATTAAAATATCTCGCTTAAAAGCACATTTCAAAACATAAGAATCAATTTCTTCAAATTATCAGAAGTCAGCTAGGACAAATGGATTAGGTGAACGTGGCTTACTAGTTTGTTCATTCAAGACGCATCAATTTTTTTGTCCTCACCATCTCTCAATGGAAAAATACATGACATCTTACACTATTTGAATTGTGATTTCCCTGGGAAGGGGATATCACTCTTGCCTTTTCTCCAAATGCTATCCAACCTACCTGGGCTCATGGTAGTTGAGATATGAATAGTGCTCCAGGAGTTTCCAAGTAATCCCGTTATCATAAGAATAATGCAATAGAACTCCTTCGCCAGGCTGGTCTGGGGCTCTGCATGTGCTCAGAACAGACTTGCTTCCCAGCCTCAGAGTGAACTGAAGAAACCTAAGGAACAGTCTACAATAAGTACATGCATAAAAAGAATTTTTTTAATCCTAATTTTCTTCATGGTTTTAAAAGAATTTCAAACAAATTTAGATGAACTGCCCAAAAGCTGTAGGCTCCCATTCTTCCTTCTTCAGAAAAATGTAATTTCATTGTGAGATGTAAGAATACATGTAGAAGGTGAGGTCAATGCATATGTTTTATATACAGATATATACATGCAAATATAACTGTATGTTTATACATATTTGTACACTATGCACTTGTGTATGTACACTTAAAATGCCAATCATTCCTTTACTGCATTATTTATTAGGCACTAGGGAAGGGAAGATGTAGGGTAAATCTAATCAGCCTCTGCAAGCTGTCAAATAAATAAAACTACATAAATAATTAACTAGCCTTTGGCTTAAGAACACAGTTTTGATGCTAACATTTCATATTATTTTTAAATCTAGTCAGTCATTAGTATATTAAAGTCATTGGTGAGCATTCTAATCTTTTAAAAACTAGGGCAAATTAACCCTAAATAAACTGTAGGCTACCTCCCATCCTGGTTAAAAACTGGAAGATGGATGTATTAGACAAAAGGAAAAAAAAAGACAAGAAGAAGAAGAAATGAAAATAAACATATCTAAAAATTCCATCATCGGTATCTGGTTTCAGTTAGTATCCCATTCTGTCTTAACTCACCTGGACTGCGAGCTGTCAAGGAAGGATGTAATTAGCTGACGCCTTCCATCTCTGTTGAAAACCAGGGCCTTACCACTGGCCAAGACACCACAACCAAAGCTGACTTCAGCACCCCGGATAGAGTAAAAGTTATGGTAGGAGGAGAGCCTAGAACTGCCAAAGCTTTCAGAAATGAACATTGGAAATGTCTGGGATGCCATCTCACAAGCGGGGCCTGAAAATCCAGGGTCACACCTAAAAGAAATATGGTGAAATGAAATCTTAAAGTGTTGGTCCTTTCAGAGATTCCTGAGTCTTCTTTGGGGAGGAGGAAGGATTTGACTGAATAGTGAGGCTCATTAGTCTTTGAAGAATACTAAATCTGAAAAGTTGGCAAGGGCGGATCGACTGTAAATTTTCCAGAAGAATACAGTCTCTGCACAGCCCTGTTGTAAAAATCTTATGATTAAAACAATAATTTGGCGCTCATCTTACTATGCCAGTAATTTATCTGGAAATATATCTACGTTCATACACATTTTCAACTTCAAATCTTTATAAAAGGAATAGCATATGTATATAATTTTATTCATAATGATGTCCATAAAATTTATAAAAGAAACAACATAAACAAAAGACTTCAAATGTGGTATTTAAAAATTTCCGCTAAGAACAAATGTAAAAATATACATTATGCTTATGATAGGAATTATTTGAAATAGTTGGCAATGATTGGAAAATAAATCTATGTTTAACTACTTCCAACTTAGATTCACTTTTAAAAGAGAATGTCTACACCCTTGACCTAGATAGGTTTCCTTAGCAGAACTGTGTTGCCTCTCAGTGGGATCCCAAATTAGTAGCTCTTTAAGAAAAAGGGAAACACACGTGTGCACACGTACACCAACAACCTGTTTGCTGCCATGTAAGAATGTCTGTATTTATGATAATTAACAAAAATATATATGTAACACTCTAAGTGTTCTATCAATGAGAAAACCTTATCACAGTTGACAGAATATTCAAGTATTTTAAGGAGTTCACGCATTGGGAATTAATTTCAAATTCTTTATTTTACTCCACTATCCCTTTCTTGAGAAGTCCTGGTGGCACAATAGTTAGGAGCTAGGCTGCTATCCCAAAGGTCAGCAGCTCGAATCCACCAGTGGCTCCTTGGAAACACTATGGGGTGGTTCTACTCTGTTCTGTAGGGTCACTATGAGTCGGAACTGACTAGATGGCACACAATAACAATGATCCCTCTCTTGAAGAAGCCCTGGTGGTGCAGTGGTTAAGCACTCAGCAGCTAACTGAAAGGTCAGTGGTTTGAACCCATCAGCCACTCCATGGGAGAAAGATGTGGCAGTCTGCTCCTATAAAGATTACAGTCTTGGAAACCCTATGGGGCTTCCTATGACTTTGTCCATAAGGTCGCTATGAGTCGGAATCTCAGCAACCTTTTTTTTTGTTATCTATTTCTTACTATATTTACAATGTTGCCATTATAAAATTAAATTAGTGTCATTTTTTTTTTTTTTTTTGGTCTCATCCAAGTATCCAAAACTTCTTCTCTTTTTTATTGTGCTTTAGGTGAAAGTTTAGACAGCAAATTAGTTTCTCATTAAACAGTTAATACACAAATTGTTTTCTGACACTGGTAGCCAATCCTGCAATGTGTCAACACTCTCCCCTTCTCCATCCCGGGTTCCCTGTTTCCATTCATCCACTTCTCCTCTCCCTTCCTGCTTTCTTGTCTTTGCTTTTGGGCTGGTGTGCCCATTAATCTTGCATATATGATTTGAACTATGAAGCACGTTCCTCATGTGTGTTATTGTAGGCCTTATAGACCTGTCTAATCTTTGGCTGAAGGATGAACACCTCAAGAGTGACTTCAGTACTGAGTGAAAAGAGTTTCTAGGGGCCATATTCTCAGGGTTTCTCCAGTCTCTGTCAGACCAGCAAGCCTGGTCTTTTTTTTGTGTGTGTGTGAATTTGAATTTTGTTCTATATTTTTCTCCTACTCTGTCTGGGGCTCTCTGTTGTGATCCCTGCCACAGCAGTTGTTAGTAGTAACTTGGCATCATCTATAGTTGTTCTGGGCTCAGTCTGGTGGAAGTTGTGATAGCTGTAGTCCATTATATTCAAAACTTCTTGAACTCTGGAACAAGCTTCTTATAAATCAAGTGTACTAACGAAGTGATAATATGGCATGAACTCAAGCTTTTGGGCGTCTGCGGTCACCTCTCAGAAGGGCCATGGAGTATATGAATATGCAAAAATCAAATGCCAAATTGTATTTTCTGGAGGAGTTATCATCAGATTATCAAAGGAGTTGGATCCCAAAATGTCAAAACCTACTGTAGTGTGAAGCCTGACGTTTATCTTGGTATCTTAAACAGCACTAGGGAAGGCGGGAGGGAAGGAAAACCAATATTTTACTATATTTTACTAAACATGTAAATGAGCCTCAAACAGTTAGCTTTTCCCCTATTATTTTATTGACTTAGACATTGAATAGCCACAGTAGTTTCCAAAATGGATTAAAAAAATCTGCCAAAGAGGGCACATTTTAAAGTATGGAAACTGAATGTGATTCACCATGGCCACAAATTGGAGTCCACAAACAAGACTATCTATTGTCAGAGTGCACTTCAGAGCAAATGCATGTCTCTGTATCTTAAATGTGTCTTCATAGAACTACTGATTGGGAAAAACTGGTGATCATTTAGAGATGACTCACATTGGAGGCATTTCCCATTTAGTGATTTTCAAAATGTACTCAATCAAAGGCTACACAATTGGGACAGAATGTTGATAAAGATTCTACTCACATTTTTGTTAAATACGTGTGTAGCCTTTGTTTGGCAGCAAAATAGTAGGGTGGCACACACTGATGATTTCAGGAATGACACAGGCTCCTCCTGAACCCAAATATGTCCCCCGCTATAGGGCTGCTATGAGTCGGAATCGATTTGATGGCCATGGGTTTGGTTTTTTGGATGTACCGGAAATGTAGCTTTATTGTCACACCGTATGTTAGGGAAAACAGCCCCACATGGATGATAGTTGTGTAGGAAGGTTTCTAATGTTCTCTCTCCTTTCTCCTGACATCTCTAACAGGGGTAGGCTTATCAGGTTAGTGGTCAGTTTAGAAACCCAGGGTTGGGGATTGTGCACAGGCAAGAAAGTGTCAGGGAGTACGAGAAGAATCCTGGTAGCAAATAATGGTAGCAGCAAGGGGAGCAGAGTAGGGGAGAAAAACACAAAGCTGCAGAGGCTCCAAATCTAAAGATCTGCTTAAAGGAAATACAGTGAAACCTGTGAGAGCCGGAACTCGATGGGACTGCCTTGTTTTTCTGGGTCTTGCAAGTTTTCCGCCTTTGACAGGGTGCAGTCTTACCACCTTTCTGTTGTTCTCTATTAGTGAAAAATACTTGTTTTCCTTCTTTGACAGGTTTCCACCTTACACAGGTTCCAGCTTTTGCAGGTTTTATTGTAAATAGTATTGAATAGGAATTTTACTTTCTGTGCAATTTTGCTCAAACTCAGCAAGGCAGACAATCCTGCAAGAGGAGGTAGTGACCAAATATTTAGACCAGCCCAAGATGAACAAAGCCAATGAATGTTACAGAAAACATCATCAGACACAGGGAGAAAACTCAAGTTCCGACTGGTAAAAATATTCTGCAAAATCTCAGAAGGAGGAAAAGGCTATGATTATTCAAAATAATGTATAGTGTCAGAAAAGGATGATGCCCAAAGGCATACAAATGCCGTGTGGATTTCTGTTTACATTTATCAAGGGTGACACAAATGGTTGCCTCAATAAAACCTAACAGTAATATTATATACTTAAAAGGAAGTATGAAGGGTAACTATTGTAATTATAGACAGGTCTTTTAAAAATAGGACTTCGTATTTTCATTAATAAAAGCAGCCATCATTTTGTTAATAATTTGTTTTCAAAACTTTTCAGGACAACTTCAGGCACTGCAAAAATGTCTGGCCTTCTTATGTTAATTTTATTTGAAATGCTTTAAACAAGAGGGTGGCCTGGATATGGATAATAAATTAGGCAAACAACTTGAGGGAAACACCAGCCCAGTGTTTCATAAATCTGAGTCAGAGTTTCTGGGTGGGTACTGGTGGTTTTATTAAAAAGCACTCTTTCTTCTTCTGTAAAACAGAGATGCATATTCAGTTTTGTATGAATAGGAACTTTTCAATTCTTCACATACTTTAAAAAACATTTCCATTATTCAGAGTAGTCTCTTTGGTAATTAAATTCATTGAAATATAGTTTAAAAGTTAACCTGATGGTCTAATCTCAGTGTTGAAAAGTGTCTTGCCTCATACATATAATTCCCAAATGATCAAATTAAATGCCCTTCTATAAATTTCCCATTAATTAACAAGTTAATTAATTATTATTTTGGCTTGGAGGACAAGAGGTAAACTAGATGATCCATTTGTTGAAACCTGATCTATATATACTAAGATTGCCTGTAGTTTCAGGAATTCTTAGGGTATTTTAAAATTAAATATTAATATGAAAAACAACATAATAAATGTGAATATCCATTCTTGGTATAAAGATAACAGAATTCTCAAGTGGTGACTAGATATTAAACTATTAGTGTATAATTTCAGACTTCATATTCAGTATCAATGATTTGTAAAATACTGTATACGTCATTTTGAAGACCAAAATGATTTTCAAAAGTAAGACTGTAAAATTATACTTAAAGATGATTAATTTTCTTATTATATCTGTTAAATTTAACCCACTCCAGTTTCCTTTAGCATTCAGTCTATGGGTCATTATTGATTTCTATTATTCATTTACAAACATGTTAGAAATTAAAATACGAATACTAAAACAAGTTTATGGAAAGACAGCATACTGAAGAATATAACAAAAACCAAAAAAGGTAGTCATCAGGCTATGAGGAATTCAGAATGATGGGTAAAATTGGTTCGCTTTTTAGCCTCTGAGGAAATTTACTTAACTTCCACTTATAAAATATATTTTATTTTTCTATTATACTTAAATTCCATTTGGCATATCCTGTTTTTGATCACAACAAGACCTAAAAAGGCTAAAAAGGAAATTAAAACAAATTAAAATGACTTGTGGCTTCACCATATAAAGTACACATCAAAAAAAGAGAAGCATAAATATTATTTTTCAATGCTTACTTGCAACCATGTCGAGTGCACTGTCCTCGGCCAGAGCAGAATTTGAGGCAAGATGGGCCAATGTAAACTGCAAAGCAAAAGAGATCATGTAAAAAATAGCAATACAACTGGAAAAACTATGAACACTATCAGCATGTGAAACAATGTTCTGAAGCAATATCCATGAAATATGGCCCATTGCATGTAAGACATGATCCCTGTGTCACATTGCGTACAGAAATTCAGGGTGACGTACAGAGTGCTATGTGACAACGTAATCTCTTAGTTACAAATCTGCCAGAACTGCTTTAACGGACACAAATAATCCTTTCAAGATTTTAATATGTTTCATAGCAAAGAAGGTAGGCACATATGATTTCGATTCCTTAAGACAGCCTCTTTCTTTTGCTAAAACTATTTCAGGCAGACTACTAGTGGTTCAGCCTTGAATGTTGTAAGAAGTTCATATTCTTTGTGAAGGAATAAAGAACTTACAAAGGATCAACTTGATATGTCACAAATGGAGGGATTATAACGATAATTTCCATTCTTAAATGGGCAAAATCCATAACCAATTGCAGATGATCATCACATATATTTCTAAGTATTAATCCATCTTTCCTGGAAATGGGAAGTGAAACATCTGTTGTTAAGCATAAAGTCTTCTCCATAATGCAGATCCTAAATGCTGGGCTTGACTGATACTTTTTGTTTTGACTGATAATTTGATGTTGCAAACCAAAATTCTAATCTTTGGAATGCTGAGAAAAGGGCTCTTGATTGTTGCATAGTCAGCAAGTTCTGAGATACTCAGATTCAAATACATTTAAAGATTTTGAACTTTTTGATAATCAACACATCATAGAGTGTAAACGTGGAACAAAACAATGAGCAATTAGAGAGGCAATGATTATTAAGACCTCACATTTTCAAACTCAGGCATAAAAAATTTACCATCCATTATAATTTTCCTCTGTCTTGTAATCATGATAAAATAGTTAAATTATTAAAAAAAAAAAAAAACTTTCCTGTGATCTATACTCCTGCAAATACTTATTCCCTGGAGCCAATTAACAAGTACAGCAATTCAAATGTGCAGCAAAAGAAGTCAACGGAAAAAGGCTAGGTGAAGGAAACCACTGGTTTAGGAAGAGATTAGACAGAAGGCTGAATGGTCAAAGGTATTGGTTTTAGAAGTCCAATAATTCTGGATTCAAATCCTGGCTTCCCGTGGGAAACTTTGGATAAATTATTTATTCTCTCTAGGACTCAGCATCCCTCTTCTTTAAAGTGGAATAATGATACTGCTTAGTGGAGGGAATAAATGAAATGTTTCATGTTTAGTATGGTGCACGGCACCACATGGTTATGGTCATCATCACCATACAGCAGTTAAGCATCCTTTACCACCCTCCCTCCTCATCCGCTTTGATGGGCTCCACTGTGCACCAAGTCCTGAGGAATCAGAAAGGGGCTCCACACTTCTTTAGCCTGGAAAAGCATATGAACTGTTTCCCTAACACACTTAATTTTATCACCACATAAAGAGCTGTTCTAGGTCCTATAAGTGACCTATTGCATTCTGCAGGGTCACTGGCTGCTGCCCTGTAGTGTACCCAGGTCATAGTTTGAAAAGCCTCCATCATAAAACATTTCAACAATAAAATAAGACTTTCCAAGTCAATGAAAAAGACTGCAATTAAAAGTTTTGTCATTTTCCCCCCATCCCCCGGTAATGACTGAGTCATTATAGTTCTTAGTATGAGTTAGTTTACAGTCTCCTTTTCCCTAAGGGAGTGGAAAGAACAGATTAGTTTTCTTCATTATTATCATTAATGTAATCAAGTTGGAAAAATATTTTTAAAAAAGTGACAATTAACATGCCCTGATCTGGCATTTTTCATCTGCCAAGATTTCCAGGATAATTTCCAAAATGCTTTCCTTACATACTAGGAGGAGTTGGCTCCACTACGAAGGAAAGAGCATGCCTAACAGAATTCCAATAATTTGGGAAGTCCATGGGGAAATGAGAGATTTTCGGGTTGTCTCCTGGCAAGTTACCACACATTTCTCTCAGGAAGAAGTGTGTGTCCTCTTCTTGCCTTGTGAAGCCAGAGTAGGTCCTGTGGTTGTGAAAGCCTCGCTTAGGACAGCAACAGAATTGAGGAGTTTCTTCTTCCAGTTTTGCATTCAATTCATACTGCTAGCTGCTCTCATCCCATATATCTTTACCTATCCTCACTCTGCTCAGAGCATGATAATGGGGACTCAGAGGCAGTAGACACATGTTGTAGTAGCCTTCTTTAGGAAATTTAGTTCTTCTCATAAGCTTGTATGTGCTTCATTGCACTCTTAATTTCTTCATATACTTTGTTATTGGTTTTTACACTTCTTTTATGATAAAATTAATACAGGTTCATTACAGGACCTTATATGAGAGCAGAAAAAAGTCACCTATCATTCCACTACCCAGGGGCACACACTTCTTTCCTAGAGCTAATTAACAGGTGCAGTAATTCAGATGTGTAACACAAAATGTTCTACCAATGGAGAAACTCCATTTTAACAAACTCATCTTTAGATGTTTTTGCAAATGCACTGTGTCTATGTTCATATAAATCATGTGGTCTTTGAAGTCTGGTTATTTTAATTGGTCTTCTTTATACACAGATTGTTTAAAGAATTCATACTGGCTCATCAGCAAATTATTTTGCCTGAAGTTATTCCTCAGGTTTCAAAAATTTATTAGTTGTGTCTCAATGTCTAAATTATTCAAAAAAACAAAAAGATTATTACAACATGGAAAATCAGCATTAAACAATGGTGTAGATTTTCCCCAATTTATAAACTAGACCACAAATTAGTAGCTATATTACATTTGCACGAATATTGACATTTTGTCCCTTCTTCCCTCTCTTCCTTTCTTCTTCCCGTGGTGCAACGCTTCAATCAAATTTACATCCTCTCTGAAAATAGACAATCTATGAGTCTACCTTTAATTACAATTATAAAAATCAAACAGAGAGACTGGCTATCAATAACAAATACAAGAAATTTACAGCCACACAACCCAACACCTTAAAATATCTTCTCTATTTGTGTACCTGTCAAAAGTGATATTAGCTATAAAATGATGCAAAAGAACACAAAATGACCAACAATTCCCTTAAAAGTTAGAGATAACATAGAATATTTTTATGCAGATTCAAATTTTCCTTCTATGCTACTTCTGAAAAGGAGGTAGAAGTTTCACTAGCATTTTGGAGATGATGTTTCCCTTATGTGTGGTGTCTGCATCTAAAAGATAAGCATTCCAGATGTTGTGGTAGTTACTTGGAGAAGAATGGGTCTTATTTTAATACATGCAATATGGTAAGTATTTATGTTGATTTTGTGTAAACCATTCAAAGAAAATGTTAGGATATCCCTTGTCATCAAGACTCTGAATTTGGGTTTCAGAGCTTTATGCATTTTAAACTTATGTATGTTGTAACATTCTAGCATCTAATATCGCTGACTCCACTGACTTTTTTCTGACTGAGCATCCCTGGGCTTCTAACGGAATGCAAAGGAGAAAAGGAAGAAAGGGTGTTTAATGAATTACAAGACCATAACTTAGAAATGTGATTAAGTCTGTGCTGATGAACAAAAGGACAGGAAGAGTCTACATGAATGGCATGTGATTATGACAGGCATAAACACTAACCATTATCAATTGCCCACATGTTTCCAAGGATTGGTCCTGTTTGTCTCCAGCGGATCCTGGTGTCCCGGGTTAGTGCTGCATTAGGAAGGGGAATCGTTATTCGGTTCCACCTGCAAGAAATTTAGCACAAAACCATCTTCACAACTATGCTCACATTATTTGAATCTATTTTACATGCTTATGATGTCCTAGTTTCTGTATACTTGGAATAACACTAAATTTTGTTAATAAACTCATTAAATTCACCTGTGGGTTTTTTGTTCGCTTGTTTATAGTTTTACAACAGACAAATAACTACTAAAAGCACTCATTTCACGTTAGAGTAGTCAGTTTGTTCTTAATAGAAAGTGATGTATATTTTGTTTTCAGAGATTTTTTTAGAAAACTTTGCACCAATATTCAGACCTTAGCTATTATTCTACAGTAAGCATCTATGCAGACGGGGGAAGGGTACCTGCACATCAAAGGCTGGATGGAGCAGTGTCAAGTATCCGTAATTTTTTATTTTTTTTTGCTGCCCTTTAGTCTTATGCAGAAGGGGTGCCAGGTGATGCAATAGTTTAGCGCTCGGCTGTTAACTGAAGGCAGTTCAAACCCACCTAGTGGCTCTGAGGGAGAAAAGACCTGGCGATCTGCTAAAGATGACCTAGAAAACCCAATGCGGCAGTTCTACTCTGTCCTATATGGCCGCTACAAGTCAGAATCGACTCGATGGCACACACTACAACAACAACAACAGTCCTATGCACATTTAAAGAGGGCTAAGAAAGAACGCCCAACCTAACTTTGCCACTCTTGGCAAGATGGCTACCATTTATTTAATGATTATCCTGTAAAGTGTCAAGTGCTTTACATAATCATCTTTCATTGTCATAACATCGGCAAAAAGAATATGTTATTGCCCTTAATTTATGCGGGAGGAAACTGGAAGTTAGAGAGTTTCAATGCCATTACGCAGGTATTAGTACACGGCAGAGTCAGAATTTGAAACCAGGTCCCTTTCCAAATCTTGAGTTTCTCTCCAAAAGTAAGTATTTTGGAAATAAACCTTTTGGCAATAACCACAAGACTACTATATAGAACTTTAAACCATGAAGATACTTTTTCATTTAATTTGAAAAATAAGAGCCAAGTCCATAAAGAGGAAATGAATGAACCTACAAATTACGATGGTGCAACAGACTTAGAAAGGTATTGTCTTTTTTTTTTTTAAAGTTAAAAAAAAAAAAACTTAAACGAGATCACTCCTAAATCAGCTGAAAAGAGAAGGCAGGTTCCTCATCTATTGTGCCAAAAATGCTAGTCTCGGGCTTACTCACTGATTTCCAGCCTGCAGCATGGACTTAAGTCTTTTGATATCCCAAAGACGGTTCACTCACCCACTGTAGTTTTCCGAGGAGTAGACAGTGCTGTGCGGGAGGTGGGGGCCGGCACAGATCTCAGGTAAACACTCAGTGTGGAGGAGGGACCAGGAGCGCCCATGGTTGGTAGAAAACTCCAAGCTGACACTGATAACACCAGAACAATCACAGCAAGAAACGAACAAAGATAACAATTAAAATGATGTTATTCATCTCTGGCTAGGTACATTATGCATCTGTAGAACTAGTGTAAAATTTTTTTAAGGTACGATTTCCTAAATGATTGTTTTCTCCTTCACTGACATCTGACCAGCCCTTCAAAGGGCAAGCAGTTAAATTACTGCTATAAAAACAAACTATGCTTTAAAGACAACAAATGGTAACATGAGTTGGTGCTCCTGAATTTGATAGATGGCAAGGCAATTACCATGTCTCGCACTGTCACTTCATCCTGTGAACGTGAGACGGATAAAAATCTTAGTGAGAAAGGACAGGAGCAACACTTCAGCAATGAAACTGAGAAGCCCTAGCTCTTGAAGTGCTAATTGATTTCCATGCCTGTTATTAGGGGGTCACTAACTGACGTGAGGTCAACTTTTTTTTCGTTTTTTTTTCCTTCTCTCTCAACAATCTGCCGAGTGGATGGCTGCCACAGCACATGCAAACACCTCTGATAGCTAAGCCAAGCTATTAAAATGAAGCCATTGCTACCTAAAATCTATCCAATCAAATCCAATGCATTAATTGAAGAAGGTTTCTTTTTTTGGAAAGCGTGTGCATTATATTAATAAGTATTTTATTAAAAATCCAGCTAAAAACCCACTGAGAAGCTGCTTCTGGTTTAATAGCCAAGTCTATACACTTATTTTTAATTAGTTCAGAACACTCACCAAATAGGACTTCCTACCTGTTACCAGGTTGATGCGTTCCACATCCTAGATTAATGGAAAACTGTATCATGTGAGACATCGTAGTTGGGAGAACAGGTAAGATGTGAAAAAAGTCTACAGCCCAGACATTCCTATTATGTCCTTGATGGTTCTTTTGCCTGAGGCAAAATTTGGTAGCAGGAGTCTGAAGTTCAGGATTGATGACCACAGAAACTAAAGTTGGAACCTTCAAAACAAAGGAAACCACAGTCCTTCATAATCTTCCCTATGAGAGCCTGTGAATTCTGCTAGATTCTATCCAGCAATCATTACACATATAACTTCCATTTATTAAGCACAAGGCAATGCCCTTGTTATTACATGTAGAAGATGCTGTCCTCAGGAAGTGTTCATTCAGTCATTTGGAATTCTCCCCTTGTACACAGGTGGTGCTCTGTGTGTGACTCATTAGGTCCTGTCTGCCTGAGGGTAGACCGATCTGTATCTTTAAAAAAAAGTTTCAGATCATGCCCTAGCACAAGGCAAAGGCAACTTGACATTTACACCCTATCATCAATCCTCTTTTAAAGTGGATTTGTATAGTACTAAAGATTTTCCAAACTAGGTATTCTGAAAATTGGGCTCCAACCAGAAACAGCCAGAGTCAACAGGTTAGTGAATAGTAACGCACATAAATGATTTGGTCTGAGGCATACAGATGACCAGAACAGGCATAACCTCACCTAGGCAGTGCTGGAAAACAAGTCTATTACAAAATCCCAAACGGTAATAACTTGGGTTACCCTAGCATGCGGAGCTACTTGATACTTTCTCTGGTTGTTTCCTTTTCTAACCTGATGTTTATCTCTCATTTTCCTAACTTAAACCATGAGATGCTATATGTTGGCTGTGGTCAAGCTTTTTAAAGTACCCAGGGTATCATCAGTGTGGACAGACAAGGCTAATTAATAATGATTGGGTGGATGTAGTCTCAGCAGAAATAAACCTATTAGAAAAAATAATTTTACACCTGACGACAAGCATCTCACACAATTTTGAAAATGTTTGCAAACAGCCAGAGTCAGCATATGTCCTAAATATAAAGGGCAAAGGAAGATGGTCAACCTCAGTGACTCTAATTAGCAAAGAAAGAAGCAAAGGTAGTAATAATCTGTACTTCCACAATATGTTCTGCCTAGGAAATCTCAAATGTGGGATAAATACTCATTATGCCCGACAGCACATCTGTGAGGCTGCATAATTAGAGCCACTTTTCGGGCTTTCTTGGGATGAGAGTAACTGTCAATCAGAGGACTGGGCTCCTCCTTGTTGTTTCTGATGGACTGTAATTCATTCTTCCTGAGAAAACATCACTTTTTCCATTTGTATCAGTGAATGTTAAAACGTCCATGCCACTTTTACAAAACACTGGCAACTTCCTGACGCTGCCAGAAGGGATTTTACCCTCTGTATCTGGGGGTGTTCTTTATGGTTATGACCCTGGCTTGTCCCAGGGAGGTCTAGGGTGGGGCCATGTGGCACATAGACTGACATGTATACCTTATATGAGGAATAGGAAAGCGAATCCAGTGCAATGTGCTCTTTTCTCCCCTCAGTCTTTGCATACAGGATGATATCATTTTCATGAGAGTCCCCTGGGTCACAGATTCCTCCTGCATAAAATAAAAATGTTAAATTCTTAGTATCAAATTGCATCCATAATCATGTCAAATATAGGATTAAATTTCAGAATAAAAAATAACTATAGCACCTAGATGGTACTTAAGAATGACCCTAAACAATAGTAGCCAGATCCAAGGAAATCATTTATGAAGATAGTTCAGATAGGTCATGCTAAAGATCAAAGACTTGACATTTGTGAAGGCCAAAGTAACTATTTGCTTAATGAGACTCCTCAAATAAGAGTCTGCCATCAGCAGTCACTGCATATTCATGTTTTAACCCACATTAAAAAGGTGTGCTCTGTTTTTAATAAACCATTATTTCCTTTTATTTGAGGTCTTCAGGGCTAAACCCACTGATTTTTTTTTTTTAAGTGCGTTTGGTGACTCACTGCATCAAAGGTTTCTGAGGCTGTTTATTATTCAAGCTGCTGAGTAAACAGTTTTAATGTTTTAGCACATTGTTACGTATTTGTATTTTAAATGCAGTTCATTTCACGTTTCATTTTTTACATTTAGTACTTCGTTTGATTGTTGCAAGGATCATAGAGTACTTTATTCTCTATCATTCTACTTTACAGTCATTCGAAATGATAAAACTCTAGAACAGAAAGACAATTAAGATCATCCTGATGATGAAAATGAGTAACAGAAGAGGTATCTGAAACTGAAGATCATTTAACTAACGGTAGAAGAGCCAGGAGTAGATGTTATGTCTTTTAATTCTTGGACCTGTATTCTTTTCACTACTGCATTTAGGCAATAATTCCTGCCATTGCTAGCTTCTGTCAACTCTTTACTCACCTCAGATTGTTAAAGGATTATGTATCTATCCAGAAATCTCTCTCTACTCACCTTATCTTTTGCACTGGCACCAACTTCAGCAGGAGTGTGGTACTTTTTGGCAAATATTCTATTCCTAAGGTGTAATTTAAAACACTAACTTTTTTCTTCTATTATATTTCAAAAAATTCCTTCCATTCCTCAAACACCATTAATGTTAATATTTATCTATAGAAAATTTCTGTTGTGAATACTGTATGATGACAGTAAGGCCACCTTAAAATTCTAGAATAAAGAAAGTTACCCTCTGAGAGTTAAACTAGTAAAATTAACAAATAGTTGTTGAAACTCACCGTCTGTGTAAATAACCCAAAAAAGTGTCAATTGATATAAACATCTGGCTCAAACTCAACCTTGGAGATTGGGGCATAATTTTGGGGAGAAATTGCTGATATGTGATGAGAAGTAAGAAAGCTAGAATCTAGTAAGTATCAAGAAAGATCATAATAACAGAAGGTATGTTAGTCAAAGAAGAGGGAGGTCAGAGAGCAAGACTTTGATAGGATGCCTAGACACTGTCACTTGGCAGGAATGCAGGTGTTCTTAGTGACAAAGTATTGGGGATTCATTTGGTAAGACGTGTCCTATGATGAAGCAAGGTGCATCAGGCTATCATAGCTCTGGAATCTCTGCCATTAAAATGTCTGGGTGATAGATGTATTTGTTCTGATGCCGAAAACACTAATTATTCCTCTCTGCTTAGCAGTTATAATTTTCATGGCTCATCAGTAAATGAGAATTCTGATTTTTCCATAAGCCTACTCTGAGTTTTGATAGTATGAACAGTATTGAAGACGTCACTTCTGGGGTCATTAAGAAAACTGGTTTTCTGAATCTATAGTGACTATAGTGACCCCATTAAGATTGCCTGTGAGGCCCACCCTGATAGGCTACCTCTTTACATGACATCCTTATTCCATCTTCCTAAATGCAACAGTGTTCAGCTATCTAAATTAACAATGTAAATAACAAATGATTTATATTTGGCTTTGGAAGTATACTACTGGAATTATGTTGTGCAAATATTCTTAATTAAATTCTCCTATGTTAATTCTAAAATTATTTGGCAGATCTGAGTATACATCAGTGGAAGCAACCCAAGAAGATGGCTTGATGGCATAGAAACCATGTGTAACTCGAAAACCAAAGTTCCTTTAAGGACATTTTGGAGAGGACTGGAGGGTTCTGGGAGTGAGCCTGTTCCTAGTGCATCTAGCTGAGCCAGAGAAGGAGAGGGTTCCGCAGACATCCTCCCTCCATTGATGTGTTCCTCGGAAAGTTCAAGGGCTTTATGAAATAGCAGTTAAGTTACAGAGTGAAGCTGTGGGAAAAGAACTTCCACATTTGGTTGAAAGGTCTTGGAAGTATATGGAATATTCCAGTTCAGGACAGAACTGATTTTATATTCGAGTGACTTATGAGAAAATCTGGCTAATAACTTGGTGTAGTATCAAGGAAATTTGTGGTTTTCCAGTTTCGCAAAGAGTTGGTGTTGCAAGTGGTGGTGGTTGGCACTGTCTGGACCAGGGTTTGGTTTGGGTTTTGGGTTTTTTTTCCTGGAGTATTAATAACGTAAGAGTAATAATATCTACTATTTATTGAGTACTTGCCACGCACTGTATAAAATGAAGTACAAGCATTATCTCTTTTCATTCACAGCAACATTTTCAGCTAGGTATTAATATATCCGCTTTGCTGATGGTAAAACGGAAGCCAAGGGAGTAAAGTTCCAAACCTCATATGTTACATTGTTCTAAAATAAGTGGTAAAGCTTGTATTTAACTTTGTTCTATGTTACTTCAAACCTTTAGGAGTCCTCAGTAGTTAAGTTTTAGATGATGGTATTCATAAAACACTGAAATCTGGCATGTTACATATGTTAAACACATGTAACTTGGCATATAATAAATGTTTATATAACTGAACATCTGGACTGTGAATAGAGAAACTGGATCTAGAAATAATGTAGAATTCATCCCAATAGATGTTCATTGCTCAGGGGCCCAACCTGTAGAGACAGTCTTAAATTTTGACATTTGAAATCATATTTTAGAGCATTTCATTACATATTTTTCAGTATTATGATAACTATAGCTGGTAATGCCATTCTAAATAAATAGTGGGTAAAAGATCCACATGAAAACTAAATTTGCTTTTCGAAAATGTAACATTTTACTGAATATTGAGCACATGTTTAAAACTTACAAAGAAAGAACAAAGAACAAAGAAAGGTCACAAGTAGTGGGGGTTTAGAGCACTACACTCACAGACATATAAAGTGAACTATCACTTCTCTCTAATTTCATTAATCTGCTTCCTGTAAATCCTCTCTGCTGCCTTACGAGCAGTACCTGAACTGCATCTGCCTTTAGGAGAGGACTGGACACACCTGGGAGCCTCACCCGCCCAGAATGACAGAAGAAGAAAGTCCAAAAGGAGCCAAGCCTTTAAAATGATGACAGACTTTATCTGAAGGGTCCCTCTGGGGGCGATTTATCAGTTCTGTGAAGTTTCAGTGACAGCGGCTCCTACAGAAAGGTACAGATTCTTCTTCAGCTTCACACTTTTTGATGCATCGTGGAAAGGGATGACTCTTGACTCAGGGTATCTTGTACAGTAATTAAGGTACAGAGAGATTTCAATAAAAACTAGATGGATGGTCAGTTTTAAAATATTTTAAATACTGTTTTAAGTAGTTTTAAGGTATCTATAGCAGGAAAGTGATTTTGTTAAAGATTGACTACATGAGCATTAGGATAGAAGGGAAAACAAGCCTTGATCTCAAAAAGTTCATGATTTAGCAAGGAAAATAAGACTAGCAGACATGAAGAATAACAAGTGGCACTAAACTGCGTTGTGCTGCCATAATTGCAGTAAAATTTCAGAGAAAACAGATATATGTGTGACTAAAAGAGCTGAGTGCACAGAAGATATTCAGTCAATATTTGTTGAAGGAATATTGAATGAATAAATGAATGAATGATGGATGCTATGTTAGGTTGTAAGAACATGTCACATCCATTCCTGTCTCGTTCACTGCAATCTGACACCAAGACAAGGGCTGAACACCAGTCCTCAATGAATAGTCACTGAATGAATGAGTGCATGAAGAAAAGAAACAGAACTTGAATTGAATTGTGCAAGTTGAGCAAGTTTTTCAGAAATGGTAGTCACAGCAGAGTGACATGAATAAAGGGATGAAACCAGGGATGAACAAGGGATGAGTAGCAGGGTCTGAGCAGGAGCAAGCGTGACCTTGTCTAGATGAACAATCAGCCACAGCTTTTCCTAAGGCACCAGGTTGACTGAGGGGTTACTTAAAAACTAGTACATCTTAAATCTCTTCCCAAACTGCTCTCTTCCCCATTAGCTAATCAAGGTGTTAAAGTCTTTTCTACAGAGTCCTGTCCTATCCTAAAAACACCTTCCCAGGACCCTGCTTTTCCCTCAACCTCCAGAATCCACTTCTTTTCTTCTCTTTATTGATGAACTTAAAGGAACAGTCCTCTTTCAATGACATCATGTCTTTATTTCTTTTAACTTCATGTACTTTGGCTTCCTGAGCCCACCGGTGGCTTCTCCGCCCTGATCCTGGTTGATCTTTCTTTGTGACATTCCCTATACTGGTGATCACCTCCCGGTCATCCCATTCCTGAACCCCTCTCCTCCCCGCTTCCTTTAGTGGTGAATGCCACCTTCCTCCCACCTCTCTTTCTGTCCTTTCTCAGTCCCCTTTACCTACTTCCGTTCCCTCTACCTACACCTAGATGAGAGTTCTTCTAAGCATTTTTCATGCCCCTTGGCTTAGTCTATCCTCTGCTTGGAAGCACAAAGCAACTCCACTGGCGCTAATTATCTGATAAATTTCAAACCTGATTCAAGCTCTAAACAGAATTTCTACCTTCATATGGTCACCCTTCTAGAACCTCAACCTCAGCATATCCAGTATTAAAATCTTTTGCTTTACACCTACTTTTTTTTAAAATATATATTTCTTACTTTAGGAAATGGCACCATTCTGCCAGTCACCCAGGATGGAAAGCTATGTCCTCTCCAATACTCTTCTCATAATCTCCACAGTCAAGCAGGTGTGAACATCACTGATTCCGTATCTTCAGTTAACCCATCTCTGTCCCCTCTTTTACCTTACCACCATTACTCCCTTAATCAGCCCCCCCTCCTCTCTCACTTAGACCAGTACAAAAGCCTCCTAACTTAGGGTCGCCAGATACAACACAATGCACAGAACAATCTTCTACTAAAAAAAAAAAACATTCTGAAATTCAAATTTAATTAGGCTGTGATTTTGTTGTTGTTATTAAAATTGGCAGCCCTACCCTAACTGGTCTTGTATCCTCTAATTTCCTATTCCTTCACTCTCCTGCTACAGCGGTCCTTCTAAAACACAGGTGAAAATCTATTAGAAAATTTATAAGATGGCTCCACATTGCCTAGAGAAAAACAACCCAAACTCCTTAGTATGGGATTAAAGAAAAGTGCTACTCTAACTCTAATTCACTTTTCTAGTTCCATATTATATCCTTCCATTCAGTTATAACGGGAAATTCAACCAGCCCCAAACATGTCACATACCTTTATAATTGTGCCTTTTCTCAAAATGGAGGCTTAGCTTGGAATTCACTTCTCTCCTTAAATGTAAATCATGCCCAGCCTTCAGGGCTGAGTTCAAATACTATGTCCTTTGGGAAACCTCAACCTAATTCGTCCACTGCAACTACCCACGGTTTGCTCTGCACTTTCACAGCATTTTCATTCCATTACAGCATACTACATTCTCCCTTACAGTTGCATGCTGCTTGTCTCTATGTTCCTTTACTCTATTGGCTCCCTGAGGGCAGGGACTCTGTCTAAATAAATTTTGTATCAATAACTACAATGATATATTGAGTCTAACTACCAGGTGCTGTTTTAAGTGCTTTGCATGTATTAAGTCATTTGATCAACAACTGTGAGTTAGGTACCATTTGTAGTCTCCATATATCCTAGCTCAGTAGTCTATGTTCAATAGGCATTTATTATTATTTTTTAATTGATTAGTGTGGTGTGATTGATTACTTTTGTGTGGCCTTTCTAGCGATGGTCTTGTAACTCCTACCCAGGTGATTGGGTAGGATTGTGTGACAGGGTAATTGTGGCCTACCAAGGAGATTGGTCAGTTTTGTCTTAAAAGAGAGCCAATTCCAGAGCAGAGAGGAGAAGCCTACAGCCACCAAGGAAGGAGAGACCCAGCAGCAGGAGACAGTGTGGTGGGCCTCTCTGCCCATCTAGAGAGAAACCTGAGTGCCTTTGGGCAGAGAGTGAGGGCCAGGGAGAGGCGTGCCTGCCAGCGCAGCTGGGGAGAGGCTGTCCTGATGAAAGAACTGTATCCTGAGTGTTCCTGAGCCTGAACTATAACTGTTACTTCCCGTATAATAAACCCCATAATCGTGAGTTTGGTCTTTGAGTTCTGTGTGGCCACTGCAATGAATTATTGAACCCAGCAGAGAAGTAGAGAGTGCTGTGGGAGGAAGGGTTGGTGTCAGGCTTAGTAGAGATGGTGGAGAGAGGAGGCTTGTCTGGCCTCTGCCTCGTGGGAGTCAGCCTTGTGCTGTCATCAGACACTGCTCCCAATCTGTTTTTACAACTAGAGATGCTTTTATTTGGGATAATGTACTTCTTTAGGCTCATTCAAATTAATTTATCCATCATAGTCAATAATATTTTAATTCATTAATTAATAATCTGCTTTGTTCCAGAAAAAATTAAAGATGACTTAATCTCATATACAGGCACTGCATATTATATTATGGGGTTGATTTACTATGAAAAATCAAGAATTCAAATATATCAAAAACAGTAAAAATGGAAAATAGTTAAGTTAAACTAGTATGCTTGTATGTTTATTCCAACTTTTTTATTTTTGCCTAAGGTTTCCTAGGAATCACTTTTAATAAAATGAGAAACAGTTTGCATTACAAATATTTAAGGGAAATGAACTCTAGCTTTTAAGCATATAAACCATTTCAAAGTCAAAGTGTGGGTCCCCTTAAATACAGAAAGATTACTTTATTATATTTCACATTTTACAATGTGCACAATTTCCCTGTTATCAAACAGATCACTATTGAAAACGAGGTAGCATAACACAGGTAATGCGGTTGAACACATGCTACAATCTGTAGCTCACCATGCAACTCTGAGTTGTAGGATTATCAAAAAGATGAAGCGAGGAATTTAAGAAAAATAATTGGCCAGTGCTGAAGCCTAGACTCAGGAGGCCTGTTTGTCCTGATGAACTGATATCTTTGCTCTTAAGTTCAAAGGGTGGACAATATTTATTTCCTGTTTCACTTCCAGGTGTTGCCTGTGCTTTTCCAGTCACTCAACAAAGAAGGCATGTGATACCTACTCACATCTCTGGAATGATGTCCAGTAAAAGAGCACATAACTGTGCCTCTTGTTGACTAAAATAATAAATTTGAGAGGCCACAAATTTCAACCCCTAATTCCTCCTTGGGTATTACCAAACTTCACTTGACTATTTACACACTCTACAATAATTTGAGGAAAAATATGTCTTATGGACATGTTTTGGAAACCCTGGTGGCGTAGTGGTTAAGTGCTACAGCTGCTAATCAAAAGGTTGGCAGTTCAAATCCACCAAGAGCTCCTTGGAAACTCTATGGGGCAGTGCTACTCTGTCCTATAGGGTCGCTATGAGTCGGAATTGACTCGATGGCAACGGGTTTGTTTTTTATTAGGACATGTCTTATAAATGTGTTTGCACACAAATATGTATTAGAAAATAAGACCCCAAAGTATTACAAGCCTGACCCTTTCTCAGCATCCCACCACTAAACAGTTATGCAACCATGAGACATCCATGAAAAAAAATGACTCACCTTTATGAGTGCCTTTTGGGAAGCTAGAGGATGTAGACAAGTAAGTTGCTTTGTTCTTAGCTTCTCTCCTATTTTCTTTTGAGCCATGACCATTGAGGGAGGTGGGAGGAAGTTACTATGACATTCTGTCTTGAGGCCTAGCCATGACATGCCAAGATCAGCTCTCTTACAGGATGATTCCATCAGGGCTGGCCTGAAGCAGGTGTGAACACCACAGGCTTTTGCTCTGTCATCAGAACTCACAGTTTGTGTATTTTCATTTTACACTGTATACTATGAACAGTTTTACTTCCTCAGGAATAGCTGCTGGCCTCAAATCTAACCTGGGTCAACCAAGTTTGTTCAAAATGTACTTACCTATAAGGAAGTAAAACCTCAGGTTTCCGTAACCAGTAGTGTCCATATATGGAGTGCATAATTTCCTCTCTCCATCTTTGAGGAAGACCATTGATAAACCAGACTCAATTGTTCCACATTCTGTACCAATGACAGCTCCCAAGATGTCCCACCTTTAAAAAAGAAGAATCATTAAGAGTTAAGACTAGGAAGTCAAATATTTATAAATTACTTAGGAGTGAATAATTTTGAAATAAAGATGTGGTGGTAAAACATGAACAAACATTTTAAATACATTCTATTACAATTATGGTTTTCTGGGAGAAGGAAACATTTAAATGCGTGCAGTTTGTCAACTACGCGATCAGTGCCAAGCTCCAGAACGAGACAGTAAAAACTAATTCAGGACCAGAGAAGCCCCAGGGGTGCTTACATATACAATTGCAAAACCCTTCTGTAAAAATATTACTACTACACAAAACTGTGGAGGATTCACACTACAAATAAACAAACCACTGAAGATGAGCTTATAATAAGACCTCACAACACACAGGAATTTAATAATTTTATGGTATATTTTTTATTTAATATTTTAAATTTGTGTTTACTATTTTAAAACTTTTACATCTCTGTATTATTTATTTCTGGTTGTGTCTAATTTGGCCATTGCTATTCACACAATTAACTTGCCTACAGATGGAGAAAACTGGGACACACAGAGGTCAGTGTCTTGCCTAAGGCCAAACCACCTGCTTGGCTCTAAAATGGAGATGGTCTGTTCTCAGTTCATTCTTACTTTAGTAGTTACGGTTCTGAAGAGGGTACTGTGTCAGGATGATTACGTTGAACCCTCCAGCTTATAATAGAACTAAAAGTTAGAAAAATGCCTATTTTTTGGTATTTTAAAGGATTACATCAATCATTCAAGGAACACCATAAATAACTTTTTGAAGCAGTTTTAACAATATTGGACCATGAGCAAATTCGCCAGGGGCCCTCTCTTGACTCATACAAGAAAATCTCACAGTGGTTCAGTGGTCTTTTACTTGCTCCATTTCCCCCAATTAAACCACTCAGCCTACTGATTGACAAAGCAAGGTAAGGTTATAAATGATGCAGATAATCACTCCTTTTAGGTATCTATCTACATTAGAGTATTTTTAAAGTGAAAAATTAAATAGAAAAACATTGAGTTGCCATGGACTAAAAGAACCTTCTATTCAAGTGAGAAATGAGATTAGTAGTCTTTTTCTCTTAATAATTACTTTTAAACTAATAACTCTTCTAGATTAATCTAAATTGATTATTTTCATGACCTCTACCACAGAGAGATAGGATTCAGGCTACATATTCATTTTTGATCTTTAAAGTCTAACATATCCACTTTTACTCTTCATCAGTCTTTATCTCTCCTACCCTAACTGTTGGATGATAACAAAAACACAGCAATTTTCCTTAGAAACCCAAATATTTATAATCAAGTGAGATGGAAAGTTATGTCTACTTTGAAAAGAAAGAAGCAGAGAGAAATCTGAAAAGGGGAAGAATCATTTTGTAAAAGTCTGATTAACCCACTGCTGTCGAGTCGATTCCAACTCATAGCAACCCTACAGGACACAGTAAAAGTGCCCCATAGGGTTTCCAAGGAATGGCTGGTGCATTTGAACTGCTGACCTTCTGGTTAGCAGACAAATGCTTAAACACTGCGCAACCAGGGCTCCAATAAATTACCTTGCATTTATTAAAAATTCAGTAAGAGCCTGTTATAGCACAAGCTCATTCTTTCATGAATTTGTATGTTTACATTGGCTGAAGCCAATGTAAAAGACAGTATCCTTGCGGGGTGCCCAGAACTCTATCAAGTACAGAGGGACCTCAGGGAAAGTCTTTCACCCCCCTGGACCTCAGAGTCTTGGTATGTAAGGTTGTGAAATTGTGGTGACTTCCAGTTACAAAAATGCTATGGTCCCTGGATCTGTCCTGACAAAATAATTACATGAAGTAAAATTATAACATAATCAAATCTTCGAGGCCATCAATGGTTATTTGAGCAATCTATAGTCTTAGCAATATCTTGAATGGCAGGCAATAATTTCCCTCAAAAAGAGTGTTACTTCTCTGTGGTTTAATTTATGTTTTCCCCAAGGTAATGGAGTTCTTTGTGAAGTATATTTGAAGAAATGCATGCTTTGCGGGGAGAGTTCTCTACAGCAGAGCAATTATATTTATTCTTTGATGATTAATTCTGAAAAAAAGCCCCTATGTTATTTATTATAAATAGAGTAGTATCTATTATTTATTATAGAGTAAGGTGAACTTTGGACAAAGGAAAAAAAAAGTTTTCTAATCAATAAAATGCCTAAGGCAATATTGTTCCTTAGAGATAGCTGGGTCACAATAACATTTAATTCATATTTTTAAAATAAGGCTCTCCATTTTTTGTGTCATAAAACAATAAATATTTCTGAAAGCAAAAATAGCTTAAAGAAATTTCTTAGCTGGAAAGCTGATAGTCCTCCCTGTCAGCTGTTTCAGACACTTCGAGAATAAAATTAATTGTTTTAGTCAGCTCATACTTTTAAGAACGACATATATTCTTTGAAGGGCAATTTGGCAGTAACTATCAAAATCAGAATTACACGCACATATATGGATATATATATGTATGTGCATTTTTCCTTTTAATAATTTATCTTTCAGAAATACTTTCACAAGTACACAAGAATGCTTATTCCAATATTCTTTGTCCATCAATAAGGTTCAGTTAGATAAACCATGGTACATCATTTTTTAGAAATAATGAAGATCTATATTTATTGACTAGAAGAGATGTTCATAATACATTATTAAGTAAAAAAAATCATGTTGTGGTACAGTATGCAAAGCGTGAGTCTAGTGCTTTTTAGGAGGTTGGGGGATGGTCATGGAAAAATTTCTGAATGAATACATGCCAATACTTTAATTGTAAGGAATGGGATTAGTATGGAGGGGGGCTTCTGATTTTTGCTTTACACTTTTGTTTTGCAATAAGTAAATCATTTTCAGAAAGAAAGAAGGAAGAAAAGGCATTAATGTTATGGCTTAGAGTTCACAATAAAAATTTAGGTTATCCTTTTATAGGCTGATGGAAGTGTGGAATCTGAACATAGGAAATAGAGGCTCTATGTTTTAATCAGATTTTTCCCCTACTAATCTCAACATAAAAGGCACTAAAGGTGATGGAACATTTCACATTTTCTCTGAAAATTTACTTTATTATATTCCCCAGAATATATTAAACCACCTAAGTTGACAAACTAAGGTATGAACTAAGATACAAATAAAGTCTGGCTATAAGATCCCACATTTATCAAATTCATAAGGTTTTTATTTAACATGAATTCTCTGAGGTTGAATAAGTTCATTACTTCCGTAAGGTCTCTATTTAGGATGCTCCAATATTTTAATAAGGGATGTGCTACAGGTAAAGATCCTTCCATGTTCATTTATATCCATGAGGTTAATCTCCAGTATGAGTTCTTTGATGTCTAGCAAGGTGTATACTTTGACTAATGTGTTCTCCACCTTTATTGCATTTATGGGTTTTTCCTCTAGCATGACATCACAGGTGAAGGTAAAGGATGAGCTCTATTTGAAGGCTTCCACGCATGCAGCATACTTCAAACATTCTTCTCTTCAATTTGT